AGAGCGCCCGGAGCTCGCAGGCGCCGGTGGAAGCGGTCCAGTGCCCGCACCAGCAGCGAGTTGTCACTGCCACCTTGCTCCTGCGCCAGCCGCCTCTCCACCAGCGCAAAGTAGCAGCCGCCCAGCTCCTGGGCAAAGGCCGCCAGCTTCTCCGCACCTGCTGGGCCCTGGGCCGCAAACAGCTCCTGGTAGGCTGTGGCCACCTGGCAGAGGCCACCCACAAAGCCGCTGCCTCCGCGGTCGGTAAATTCTAACACGTCAGGGGCAGGAGGGGAGGGCCCCAGCTCTGCCTCCAGGCTTTTCAGCTCTTCCTCCAGCCGCCCTCGGGCATGTGCCAGGAACTCCTCACACAGCTCCTCTGCGGGCTCGCCCAGGGCCAGCAGCAGCTCCACGCATTCCGCCTGCTCAGGGGCACCGGAGCCTCCCTCCCTACCGGGAGGAAGATGGCAGGGTAAAGCAAGAAGACAGAATTTGGGGTGGGGCTAGGGGAGAAGGGAAAGTGCAGGGCAGGGTAAGATGGGGGCCCAGAGGCCACACCTGAAGCGCTGCCGTAGCTGCTGGGCCAGACGAGCTGTGATGACCTGGCAGTCATCCTGGATGGCACGGAACGAGGGCAGGTGCTGGTACTGCTGCAGCACAGCTCGCGCACGGCCCTGGTAACGCACTGCCTGCCCGTAGGCGCCCAGCTCCACGCACTTGGTGAGGCGCGAGGGCAGCTCGAAGAGGAACTGCAGCTTCCGCAGCAGCGCGTGGACCCCTGGGGGGCGAGGGCAGGTGGTGTCAGCCTCAAAGCCCCGAGGGCGGCCCACTTTAGCACCTTCTCTGGGGCAGCGCCCACCTGCCAGCTTGGTGATGCGCTCGTGGCGGTCCTGCAGTGTGGCACTGATGCGCGCGCTGAAGTCTGTGATCACAGCCATGTTGGTGGCCAGCCGGTCCATCTCATCCTCCATCTTCCGGAAATCATTCTTCATCTTGCGAATGGTGTCTGCCAGGGCAAAGGCGCAGGAGAGGGAAAAGGAGGTGGGGGGGGGCGCAGTGACAGGCGCAGCACTCAGCCTGAGAACAGCACAGGCGCTCACACACGCCCTCTTCCCAAAGGCCTTGAGCCCACTACCACCCTGAGGCACGGAGGGCCGCACTGACGTTTGGCGTGATGCGGCTGCAATGGTGCTGGGTCACAGGAAGTGGGGGAGGGGTATCATGTCAACGCAGCAGGTATTTTCCGAGCACCCCTTGTGTGCCCCTAGCCCTGGGGCAGTGGGGAGGCAGCTCACAGTTCCTGCCCCCGGGAGACGCCCAGAGCCAAAGGAGGGCACAGGGCACCTGCAGAGACCTGTCTGCTCTTTCCCAGGGGCATCCAACGTGCCCAGTGCACTGCCTGGCACTGAGGAGACAATAAATACTTGTCCACCTTTATCTCCTTCAGGCTTCCCAAACCCTCTACCTGCCTCCAGAACATGGTCGGTCTTTTCAGAAGGGTCTTTCCATTTTGTCCGACAGAAACCTGACCAAGGAGGCTGTTCTTCCTCCCACACCCAGGCACCTCAGGGCCTGGCCCCTTAACGCTCCCAGACAGTCACACTCCTCCTCCCTACAAGACCCCTGCTTCTTTGAAGACCATGCCATCAAACGATCCCCCTCCCCGTTACTGTCCCTGTGTCCTCCTTCCATGCCTCTCGGTTCTGATCAGTCACCTCCTTGTGGACTCAAACACCCCTTCGATGAGCCTGGGGGACATCCTTGACTCTCTGTTCTCTGACCGCCTCACTTCCACCTTCTCGCCTCTGCCTCATCTGTGCCACCCTGACAGGGATTGACCATGCAACCTAGGCATATTGGAGAGACACTCTGACCAACACAGCTAGCCAGCCAGGGCATCTTTGTGCCCCTTAATATCACACACTTTCTGTTTCTTTGCTTAATTACAAAGACGAAAGGGCCCCAGCCGGTGTGGGTCAGTGGTTGAACATTGATCCAGGAACCAACAGGTTGCTGCTTCGATTCCTGGTTTCCCCAGTCGGAGCCATGCAGGAGGCAGCCGACTGATGATGTTCCTCTCCCATTAATGCTTCTCTTTCCATCCCTCTCCCTTCCTCTCTTGAAATTGAGGACAGGATGAAGGAAAGAAGGAAGGAAGGAGGGTAGAGGCAAGCCCATCCTCAAGACAGACCTGGACCAGAGAAGAAAGCTACCACTAATGAAAGGAGCTAATCCTGACTGAGGCATCCTTAGTGCCAGGTATTCCAAGTACAGCAGATTCATTAACTTCATTTTCTCCTTCCTCCCCTGGGGTGCTCAAAACAACACTCTGGCCCTGGCTGGTTTGGCTCAGTGGACAGAGCATTGGACTGTGGACTAGACGGTCCCGGGTTCGATTCCAGTCAAGGGCACATGCTTGGGTTGCGGGCTCAATCACACTCTGAGAGCAGCTGGAATTTGGATCTCCTCCTTCTAAACCCCCTGACAGCTCTCAGGGGAGGAACCGGGGAGGTGGGATGGAGAGGGCGTGTCCCCGGGGGACTCACCTGTGGCCGAGATGAACTTGTTGTAGTTCTCATAGACCAGGGTCTGCATGTCGCTGTCCAGGGCCCGGATCTGCCGCACCATGTCCGTCTCGCTGTCCATCAGCTGGGCCAGGGGGCACTCTCTGCGCAGCTGGAGGAAACGGGGTGTGTAGTGCTCAGGTCAGAGGGTTCTCGTGTCCCCAACCCTTGACCGGAACTGGAAGCTTTCGGTGCAAGAACACCCTTTCCCCACCCCCGTCAGGAACCCGAAATGGCGCCTATAGTGACACAGCTCAGGAGTTACAGGTTTGGGGAACCATATTTGGGTTTGTCAGCCTTTGAAATCCTCAGCTTCACCCAAGGCTCAGCCCCGAGCTGTGAGCGGCGAGGCCACGCCCGCGACCTGCCTGTCAGCTCAGGGGGCTCAGACCCCCCCAGACTCCCCACGCCCCCTCGGGCTCCAGCTTCGCGCCGGCTGCCTGGCCGAGGGTCGGCTACTTTCACGACCCCTGCTTCTTTCACCTCCGTAACAGAGTCGGCGGCATGTTCTGGGGGTGCACTGTATCGGGGCCTGGTTCCCCCCACATACACTTACCTTGTCCAGATACACTTCCGGGTCGAAGTGCGCCCCGTTGAGGTCTGTCGGGTCCAGGGGGTCCGACCCCGGGGGGCGCCCCGCCGCCTCCCCCTCCGAGAGGCCGTAGTAAAGCTTCAGCATCCCGTGCGCC